TCCTAGAAAGCTGGCTTCATACTTTGGTCTTCGAACCCTTTTTTCTCTCCGGTTTTTCCTGCAAAACCCAACGAACATTAGATCCTTTTTCGAAATCTGTCGAAAACAACTGACGCAAAAGTCCTAATCAAGAACTCTATAAATTTTGTAACGGCTGATATTCATTAAACGCGTTTATAACTACCGAGTTCAGGTGTTTTAAAACGCTAACTGTGAAAACCGTTTGTCAACGCGCCCCCGGCGGTGTCACTACCTTGGCAATTTTGTCAACCTAAAAATCTCTCTATTATCTACGTGCTTAGCTTTTTGTAATTGTCGATGATATCTTCTGACCCTGTCCTTTCCTTTCTCGTGCTGTTTGTTTTATTGCTATTTTCAGATACTGGAAGGAATATTCATTAACAGAACCGTTTGTTCAGCTGAAACTGTATCTTCAAGACAGTCGAATGTAAAGGAAAAGCGAAAACTCGCTTTCATTTCCTTAACCGTCACAGTTGCTTACCATTTGTCTCATCTGCCATTTTGTTGTTTGAAATCTACATAGCTTTTCAACCTTATCAAGCAATTTTGGATAACTACGAGTATTTCTATAAAGTTTATCGAGTCGTTGTCTTGTACGTAAACTCGTGCTGGAATCCGTTTTTCTATGGCTTCCAGAGCTCGAATATATTACCGAAAGAACTGTATAAGAGTCTTTATTAGAAAAACAATGTCAGACAACAACTCCATGACGTTCGGGTCAAGCTCTCTTCTAAGGAAGATCGACAGATCGTCTTGAAAGAAAATAAATAATCTCTCGAAAAAAAGGCTTATTGCTCGTTTGGTTTGCTTAGGATGGAAGGCAGAAAAAAAGGGTTCTATGACCAAGGTATGCCGGAAGCCAGTTTTTAGATACAAAGGTCAACTAATGGACCTAATGGAGCAAGAAACGTAAAGAGAACTTGCAGAAAACAGAGTGAACCAACAGAGAGAGCTTAACTGATACGAACGAAAGTATGCTAGCCGCTAAGTCAGTTAAATGAGCTTCTTATGCTAGCACGTATGTTAGCACTAAGTTAAATAGTTTGTTATCACTTAACTAAACACTGGACTGAGATATAGGAATACAGGAAATATTTCTACTACATCATGAAACTTTAAGTGTTTCATCCAACCGAAAAGAACAGGAAAAACTCAAACTACCTGGTCTGTCCACAGATTATTTTATTTTATTTTTTGCTTGCGATCTCGATGAACTCAAGACAAGGACGAAGAAGACAAAGTAGAGGGTCTGTCCACATACTAAAAACTACCAAAAACATCTGCACTCATTATCGGTGAAATTTAAAAGCGTTTGTTAAAACAATAATGAGTCAATTAAGGGCAAAAATAAAGTAACGCTTTACTGATTATCTAAGAAAAATTAAAATGAAAGAACTGCTTGTGAAATAAAATGATTCAGTATTGTAAAGCTGGTTTTACGGTTTTACTTACTTACTTCAATTTCGAGAATGACCAAAATTCAAAATTAAAGAAAAAGATGACAAATTTTTTTTGTCTAGATATTATACTGAACAAACAGCACGACGGGTATACTGTTAATTTATACACTCTTATCAGAATGGTTACACAGGGGAGTTTCATCAGCAGACCCAACTTTTTTTTTCTAGAGGTGTGTAAGAGTCATAATTCGTAATTTGCCGCTATTCTGACAATGATTCTTATCTTTCTTCCCGTTTTAATCCTGTTCCGTGTAGTAAATATGAATCCGACGACACCTAACCAATGATGTTTTAAAATGCTCCTTAGTAAGCCCCTATACATACCTCTTATGCCACTGACATATTTATTCTCGCGTCACCTGTCCGCTTCACAATGTACTTATATTGTAAAAAGAAGATCTGCATGAATTAAATGTTGATAACTCTTAGCTTCAGAACTAATAATAATTCTCCATTGTCTCCTTCATGATCATTAGTTTAGGTTTTGTTCTAGTTCCTATTTTTAAATTTCAGTTACAATTGTAGAGAGTTAGCCGAAGAAATATTAATTAATAAAAGGTTACCGTTCTTCCCCCTTTCCTATCCCCCTATTACCCTTTTTTGGCAGGCTAGAGTCGGCATTTCAGTTATTTGAACTTTGAAAATTGAAAAAAACATCTTGCTTAATGAGCAAAACGCATTCAATCGCGCACGTAAAGTGATTATCAATATTGGTGTGTGTGGAGTCCTTTAACCCAACCAGCTGAAGCAGATTGATGTATGATAATTTCTAGCAACAATTTGAACCAATAGAATAGATTAATTTCCTTTAAAGACAAACATAAAAAAGCCGTAGCTAATAAACAGGTGAAAGCGTCAAACTGTGAACTTAACGGGGAATTCGAATCTCGTCTGGGCCATAAACAACTGCTCAGATTAAAGGCAGGTTCTGATAAAGGCGGGGTTTCATCAATCTAAATGAAATGGCGAATATTTCTGTCAACACGAGTCTTTATAACTCCCTGTCACCTTTTAACGTAGCACTGGTTGTTCTTTACTCGATCATCGTGGTCGTAGGCCTCGCAGGGAACAGCTTAGTCATCGCCATTGTGTGTAAAACAAGGTCCATGTTTACCCCGACGAACATCTTGCTGGCGAACGTTGCGGCGGCAGACATCATCTCACTATTATGGTGTCCAATACCTTTAGTGATTGGCCTTTCTGGTACAAACATCTCTGGAGAAACAGCAGACTACATTTGCAAATTCTTTACTGGATACTCAGTAACGTGTATTACTGTTCCGGTAACTTTCCTGAGTTTGATGATTTTAGCGGTGGAGAGGTTCCATGCCATCGTCAAACCCTTCAACTCTGCATTGGCGCTCACGAACAACCGTATGGGTTTTGTTATTGCTTTTATCTGGATCATGGCAGCGGCCCTTTCCTTGCCGGGGTTCATTTATAGTAAATACGATGAACAGTTAGGAAGGTGCCTGGATCCATGGACTCTTGAGAAAGCAGGTTCAGTGCAATGGCTTTTTGTCATGCAATTGGGTCTGTCTTTTCCTTTCTCGTGCTGTTTGTTTTATTGCTATTTTCAGATACTGAAAGGAATATTCATTAACAGAACTGTTTGTTCAGCAGAAACTGCATCTTCAAGGCAGTCGAATGTAAAGGAAAAGCGAAAACTCGCTTTAATTTCTTTTACTGTCACAGTTGCTTACCACTTGTGTTATCTGCCATTTTTGGTGTTTGAGCTCTACACAGCTTTTCAACCTTATCAAGCAATTTTGGATAACTACGAAGATTTCTATAAAGTTTATCGAGTCGTTGGGTTTGTTATGTACGTTAACTCATGTTTGAATCCGTTTTTCTATGGCTTTCAGAGCTCGAATTACCGAAAGAACTTTATAAGACTCTTTACTAGAAAAACAATGTCAGACAACAACTCCATGACGCTCTGGTAAAGCCCCCTTGTTGAAAAACAAAAACAAATTGCACTGATATAGCCCTATGAACCCTACTATGATGAAATTCAAGTTAATTAAGGATAACGCGATCTATTTTTGGGGTTCAGTAATATTTTTATAACGTGTTTGCGAAGTGTTATAAAAGGAACTGGTAAATTAATTCATTTGTCAGAAACTTTTGCCATGTCATGTTCTAGTTAACGTTGTAGGACTTGTAGTAGGCAGTTGATAAAGGTGTTCGGTGGGTATTTTATTTCTTTTGTTAAAGTGAATGCATGAATGTCATAAAGAAAAATACACTATTCAGTATCCTAGGGTGGAAAGTTGTAAATACATTTTCTGCGTTATTGTTTAGTCACTGCTCGCCGATAAAATGCAAATTTACGTTCTCTAATCTAATCCGTATATGTTTTTAAATGGAAACATATATTACTATATTATTGTCATATTATATTACTCAGTTTGGAACACAATGTGTGTACTAAAGTTCAAACCGCAAATATTAACCTGGCCTAGCCCATAAAATATCTTCTTTGTCTCAAAGAAAGATTTTTTAAATGAAACTGAGTCATCTGCATTTTCATTTCAACTTTCCAGTAGATAGATATGCATGCAATTATAGGCCCGGAAACAATAAATGAAAATGACAATTCACGGACACGCTTTTTCTAAGGAGGACTAATTGAAGCCATTCCGCAATAACTTGATCATGACTTTTCTGTATTTAGCAAGTGGGGCTAAGGCCCGGTTCATACGTCGCATTTTTGCCGTGTCGAATTCAACTCAACGAATTAAATTCGACAGAAATTCGACGTCTGAATCGGCTGCCGCATTTCTGCCGCACGTTCGACTGGTCTTGTCGCATTATCCGACAGAAATGCGACACCGATTCAAACGTCGAATTTCTGCCGTGTCGAATCTAATTCATACATTATGTTAATGTATTGAGCATGCGTAAATTTGGTCCCGTCAAAGAGAAACAAGAAACTTGGCTATTCTCGACCCAATGCAACCTGAAAATATTGCAAAACAAACTGCTGCATTGTCAGCCATTCGACTGGTCTTGTCGCATTATCCGACAGAAATGCGACACCGATTCAGACGTCGAATTTCTGCCGTGTCAAATCTAATGCGTAAATGTGTTCCTGCCAAAGAAAAAGAAGAAACTCGGCCATTCTCGACCCAATGCAACCTGAACATATTGCAACACATACTGCTCCGTTGTCAGCCTTCTCCTTCTCGTTCCATTGGCGGACAATTTTTAGCAAAATTAAAGTCCTTCGTCGCTCAGTATTTTCGTCCGCCATATTGAATACTCTACGTTTAAAACATTTTCCGCTGGCCGACATACCCGACACAAGTGCGACGGAATCCACAATCGCATTTCACATCTGGTGAAAAGGAAACAATTCATCATCTTTGAGGTGGAACTCGAAATTTCGCTCAGCATACCTTCCGGCTCTCAAAACCATAATTTTTCACAAATGAACAAGACAATTACTTACGGTAAAGAAACTGTTGATGTAGGCAAGTAAATTACCATGTTGTCTATCAAGGCCAACGACAAATTAACTTCGTACATCGAATTTGGAGTGTAGACGTTTTGAGCGTATACCCTTCGTCAGAGAAAAAAATCGGGTATAACTTACAATTCACCCTCAGTTTCTCTTTTTAAGATCTCGCATTATGCACATGCAGGATATCTTTATAAATTGCTTTTGGATTTGATTCTTCTTTTTATTTGAACTGAAGCATGAAGCCGCAAAGTGAAATAAGAAACTATTGTTGAACAGTTCGGACCCTAAACGTTTCGCATTTTTTTTTCTGTCTTGCTTAGCAAACGGTTTGCGAACTGTACAATACTATAAGCCTCCATTAGATCACAGTTTCGAAAAATTTCCAAAAAGTGTATCGAGCCTTATTAAGATAAAATAAAAAGTGGCTTTGAATATACTATATCCGTCAGATTGAAGACATATTTGTTTCAATAGTTCATGTTGTTTCGGCATCATTCGACATTTCTGGCTCCCAGCGGTTTAAATTTCTTTTAGCGTCGTTTGAGTCTAAAATGGAAAGAGGAGAAAGTGATTACAGATGAAAAATAATTGGTAAGGAAAAAAATATCGGTCCTTCAGTAGTGTCAAGTTTTGTCTTTTAAAGCTCGAATGAGAAAACCAAGACCGCTACTACTATACGGCTGTCACAATAACAACAGAAGCCTGGTTTGTACTTACGATGCAAGCACTAGTGCAAGTTGATCATTAGTGCTTTTTGTTAGATTTTCTTCTTTTTGAACAAATGATGCATGGCATTAATGATCTACAGCCGTGCGTATGCTGCCCATGCTGTTTGCCCTCGCGCATGCGTTATTCGTGTTCCTATCAAAAGACACTAATGATCTGCAGCTTACTGCGTCTGCGTATACTGTTTACCCTCACGCATGCGTTTTTCGTGTGAACAGGCCCTAAATGAAAAGAGGTACAACGATGAGCTGTTGGAGTAGTGCCATTGGAAAATGACTAGTCTGACAGGTTGAAACTTACCTGTGTTTGTTGCCTCGTTGTCTTGCCACTAGAGGGGCGTCTGCATACTTAAGTCGAGAAAAAAAATCACAAAATTATTCTTATTTTGAGGCTTAAGCGATAGAAATACCTCAGTAATCTTTTAAATTTACAAATATCTTATGACTGGTTTGCCAAAATTAGAACTCCTAACACAGCGGAACCCGGCCCTTTAATCCGGTCATTAACGTAATGGCAGTATTAAAGGGGTTCTTTGAATAAGAAAACGACTGACTAAGCTTTTGTTCGGGCTAGAATAAAGTGGCCGTAATAACAGGTGGCCGTAAGCGGGATTCCACTTATATTAGTTATATCCAGGTGAAACCATCTGCCTCCCTTTTCTGCAGATATTCGTTTCCCCTTGCATTTCGATAAACTCTATCCTGATAACTTAGTGCTTTTATTTAGTACTTTTTTTAATTCCACGTGTGAGCCAGCTGCCCATTAACAGTAAACAGGTGAAATCTCAGAGGAGTGTTTAACTCATTCTATATCAAACGTACAATGCCAGCTAAATTTGTTTTGTACGAGAATGATGTTTCGCTGAAGGCAGTGCTCGTAATACAAAGTATGTTTTTAAATATTTCAAAACCGAAGAGACATACTTGTGGTGATCCTTTGTAGTGACCCGATCTTTTTTACTTTTCTGATACATTGGAACCCAGGCGGGACACCTGCAATATACAGAATGGACTGAGTAAACATCATAAGGAGTCTTTAACACTCGATACCTACTCAAACTTAATTAGCTTATGACATCAGTAGTCGTATTCACTTGCTAATTCCCGTTAATAACCAACATTGTAACTTAATTACGATTCAGAAAATTACTGAATATCTGGCAAAGCATGTGGTTTAAATTTAAAAATTTACTCATTTCTGGAGTCTACAAAATTATATCTCGGTAAATTAAGAATAAGTAAATACAAATTTGTCATAGTCACTCGCACTCATTTTCCTGTCAAACATTCGGCATCCAACATTCCCATCGTGCACTGCGCGTATGTCGCATTGATTTTGTCAGAAAGGCTGGTGAGTGTATACCGAGAAAACATAGGTGACTGGTGGGATATTGCATGACATGCCACTCCAAAGCGTTGCATAACTAGTTTATATTAAACGAATTGAGCGCAACAGAAATACGTTTGCTACACGTCGATCGCTTTAAAATGGAAGAAAAAGGCCCATGCAACTTTATATTTTAAAAACTTAAAATTGACGAACTAAGTCGACTTTACCTTTCTGAAAACTAACCTGGCGGAGGAAGGCTTGGATATGAAGCTCCTGGGAGTGAGGGACAGGAAATAAAATAAAAACAGGTGGGCCACGCTAGAACTGACCTGCCTTAAACTGGAGTATTTCTCACGTTATTGAGCTCAACAATAAAAAGTGACTTTGTTATGCTTAATATTCAACTGGAAAAATGGCATCGAATGTAATTCCAATTTTGCAACATAAAACAAAACTTCTCGTTAAGTTACAAACGTAATGACCCTGATTACTATCCGTACTTTTGGAAAATCGCATAATTCCGGGTGGGGGTCGCTATTTTAGGGTAGTTAAAACGTGTACCACATGTGGAATGATTCATCTTTGTAGAAGAAAAACAGTAGGAAACTGATCAGTCTAGTCTAAAAGACACCAAAACACAGGTATCGGATCAGTTTGGGTTCGGCGTATTGTATGTGTGATATTCATTTTTTCTGGTAACAAGACAGTTTACTTTTGAGGCACTACTTTTTGATTTCGGGATCAGCCAACAACTACGGAATTTTATCGCTCGAGCTAGATCACTATTTTCGGAAGGGACTCAGTTCGAAACCGAAGAACTATATCACTGTACCCAGGGTTTGGACTTCAAGTAACTACTTAGAAACAGAAAAGAGGCGTTCGAGACCTCGACTCTTTAACTTGCTAGTTTCGACTTACTAGTTAGTTTGCCTAACCACTGATTACCCAATAAAATCTAAATTATAGGAGCACGCAACACCCTGTTCACCCCAATTTTGGGTCCTGTGGGGCAAAATGATTGTACAACGAACGTCGCTAATAATGACAGGTTTGACCTCGATTTGTTTTAGGGCAAATCTTGAGAATTCGTAGAGAGTGTTGAACTTATGGATTTGTCAGACATCGAACAAATAAATGATAGGAATGAAAAACATGAAGATGTTATCACTAATGCGGAGATTGAAGAACACTGACCTGTGTCAGTTGTCTGAGGCTCATAAGCTGTCTTTCCGGCAGCTGCTTCATCTAGCAAAAAATATACGGGTTAATAAAAAAAAAAACACATATACACAGAAAGAAAGAAGATAACAAGTAATCAAATTCATGGGATGGGGTCTTTGTGAGTCTTTTTGATCTTAACAGTGTGGACGATTGGCGAAAACGCATTAGGGAGATGGCATCAGATCAGGGAGGACGGGGCCCGAAACGAGAGGTTCTCGTAGTGGGGAACGTTGTCTTCCAGGCTAAAACAAAAACTGAATTGCCTTACGTGTCAATGAGAAACTAATCCGCATATTCTTTGTTTACTATACTCGACTTTTTGTTCCATTACTTCTGAAATTGCAACAATCGTATTACTTTCTGGCAAGCACTAGTTAGAAGTAGTTAAATTACATTCTAGAGCGGTTTTCCATTGAGTGTTGTGAAACCAAAATCAAACTAATCACTCTAGCCAATCACAAAGGACACAGACAATCCTGTGAACCAATCAAAACTATTAATATTAAGTAATTACACGTAGCTGACACAAAGCGCAAGAAAAAGAGCGCAAGCGAGTCACGATTGGGTTTGGTTTTACTTCTGATTTGGATGAAAAAGTGGCGCGATTCTCTTTAGCTCATTGCCTAGCAATACAAAACCATTAACGTCCCATTACTTTTCGCCGACGCGAGTGAAAACTGCTCTGTAAAAGTTTACTACTTGATGCTTAGCTCGTAAAAGTAACACACGCCAACACATTCATTCAGGTGAGGTTGACAAGGTTAATTCGGGAGAACTAAAAAATAATACCATGCTTGTAGTGCTGAGGACGTTATAAACCCCCAAACATTTGATACAGAATCTTAAATCACTATTGTGGAAGGACTCTCTCATCTAAACCTCTCAACAGAAGGAATCAATTTACGAAAGAACAGCTTTTCTTAAAATCTCGAATTTTAAATTGTTTTAGACTGCGCTTACCACATTTGTACATAAGCCTAGCTTGTTGGATGTCAAGTTTACTGGGCTTCTTACGTTGTCCTATTTCTGCGGAAGGTTCCACAGCCTGTATCGTTATAAGTCCAGGGCGATTATTGCCAGCGTATTTAGAGTAGTGCATTATGGATCCAACGTCATATGGGACTTCTCTACTGTCTATCATATCCTCTGTTGCTTTTTCGAAGTTTTTCTCTGTTCCTGAAGTAAAATGAAGACCAGTGCCTCTGTCAATTGGTGCTATTTACATGGCCCCTACCGAAGCACTCTACCTACACTCTTTCTTTTTTTTTTTATAAGAATATGATTGATAAGAATATCGAGACTGAAATTTGAGACTGATTGGATGAATATTTTAAAAATAAACCCTAGGCTGAGATTTTGAAAAGAATATAATTTTGTGTGTTGAAACGCAAAACTAGCCTCAAAGCAACGAAAACAACGCTAGCCTTTATGTTCGATGCTTATAACATTTCTGGAAGAAGTTATGTGTGTCATATCAGGCTTTAATGCCCGCAGGCTGACTCCAAAATTACTTTAACACCATCCAGACGCAAAATACATTCGAAAACAGAATGTCATGCGTTTTAATCTAGGAATATTCACAAAATTATTTTCAGCCTAGAATCGGCAGAAAAATAAGAATATTCAGCCTCATCAGGAAAAACATTATTCTTATAAAAAAAAGAGTGTAGTCCTCTTATCCACCGATAAACTTCATTTCCGATGCTATCCTCTCGTACTCGAAGTACAAGATTTGTTTGTTTGGCCACGATCTCTTTCTCTGATAAAAACCTCTCCCATTCCGCGGGCATACATGGGATGTCATTATAGAGGTCGGTGCTACGACGTTTTCTTTCCTGGTATTTATATTTCCTAAATGATTGAAATCATTGAAATCACTTGAAAACTATTATGGGTTCTATTATGGGCAGGGAACGTTGACTGCTAGTGAATTGAAGTTTACGGTAACTTCAGTAGCTGAAGGAAGAAAAATCACTAAAATAGGTATTCAAGATTTTCACTCCAATCCCACTGAATCGATTAACCAGCGTGAACTACCATTACCCAGGACGCCTTTCGGCAGTCTAAGACGCTTTACGCTTTTGAAGGACAACCTTTCTCGTAACAGCTGTATACTAGAACTTTTCATATACAAGAGCTTTTCCTCCCCAACTGACCCACGAAAATGCATGAATTCTAACCTCTACGGATATTTTCCCAGTTGATTTTGACGTACTTATCCCTGTCAGGGCGACTCTGTTCGTGAAAGAAGCCTAGGGCGTGTCCTAATTCGTGAGTAAGGGCGCCTCGATCACAAGGAGGATCCCTTGAAAGAGAAAATAAATCAACTTATTTTCCTATACACGTATGAAATAAAGATTTCGAAAATATAAAACACTTTTCAGTTTTGAGCGAATCTGCGATCAGTATTTATAGCTGCAAGCGTTAGTTTAGCGCCAATATGATCCTTCTTGGTCTTACTGGTTAGCGCCTATCGTTTCTGGTAGCTCAAGTTAAGGTTTAAGTTATCGCCACTGAGAGGCTAGACGGAAATGATTACCTTGCCCACCGACCATTCCCATGGATGGGTGAGGGGAATGCCCAAAAATCCCAGTGCCTAAACGTCTTTTAAATAATTAGGGTTAGTGCTTAGGGTTGGGAGTAGTTCAAGTTAGGTTTGTAGAGTAGTTCAACCATTCCCATTGGATAGGTGAGGCGCACAAAAGACTTTTGAAAATTCAGACTTTTAAATTTTGAAAATTGCGCACAAAAGACTTTTGAAAATTCAGGGTTTCATTGGTAACGGTCTGCAAAAACTAGGTAAATAAGATTCAACTTACTCCGTGTACCGGCCAATGGATACTTCCTGGGGGCGACCTGTATGTCCCACATACGACCAACACCTTAAAAGACGAGAACGTGGTTGTTCAGAATTGAAGGGAAAAAAAGAAAGGAAAAGTAAAACAAAACAAAACCAAATCACTCTCTTTTGTCGACCCGAGGAGCAGTCTTGGAATATTTGGTAGAGGTGGACCGAATTGTAATTTGTACGCGTTTTTAAATTCAAACTGACAACGTGCCGGAAAGGCTTACTTTTGGTCCTCTCAGGAATTTGATTTATCTATTTGTTTGGAAATGTTCCTACAAAACTTCGGAGAAAACGTTGCCATTTTGTTGACCACATAAAGCCATGCACTGCACACTAATGGCTGTATGGTGCGATGACTCAGTCAATCAGATTGCAGCATTTGCACTAGTATACAAGGAAAGGTCTACTAAAAAGCAAGAGAATATGATCTTTTCTCCTGTAAAAAGCCATATCCAATTTATTTATATTTTAGATCAACTAGCAATTTAGAGATACAACAGTTCAATAACTATCCCTTTTGGGGCGTAAAAAATTATAGCGCTTTTTCCATTCTATGATGAGTCGGTCAAGTTAGTTTGTTTCCTGTCTGTTGTAATTATCGTCCCACCATTCTTCTCGAGTCTTTCGAGTCATTTAAATAATGACAATGAAATAATTACTTATGAAATCTCTAACATATAAACCTGAAAACAAGCGATTTGTTAGTACCATAGACCTTTGCCTTGTGCGATAAGAATCAATTTCATAAGCATGTAATGCGCCTCTATAGATAGAAGCGTATTAGAAATACATTCACATCAAATCAGTACATTACGAGCGCGCCAAAAATTACATGGCAAAAGTACATGCGGGCCTCAACTGAAAACTCACTTCTCTCGGTACGATGTGGTCTTTGACGAAACCCGAATCATTGCTCTACCTTGCGGCTAAATAGCTTCTCGCGTGACTTACCCCGTTTTATAAACGAACTTGATGTATGATTGCTCCTCTTCCCTTTGCTTAAAGTTGATACACACGTGTTTATCCCAATCATGCATTGAGTCTCTGATCAGTTGCCGTCCTCTAGCGTCTGATTAACAACAAAACCGTATTTATGAGAATAACACCGGACCTGTCCTGTCGTTTATATCAGTTTGAAAGCATTAATTTCAAGAGGTGGTTTTGAAGAGGAAAAACTCTTTTTTTTCAAACCTTAGGTCTCAAACAAGAAAGATTCATTAAATAGCGAAAGAACAGCTCCTCGTGCTCAATTTTATCGTACACGTTTCTCGATTTTTACTTTTTTTTTTGTTTACGTTTGTCGCCCGTCTTCTTATTTCAAACAATTTCGTTTCAATTTCTTTTTTTGTGCCCGAATAACCTAAAATAGCGTAACCATGATTAGCTTAGATTGTACTTATAAAACAATAATCTAGAACAGCGTGACCCGTCGGCGTTGGTTCGTGTCCGAGCATCAACAGATTTCTTCTAACAGTATGGTCTCTTCTTCTTTTCTTCTACAGCGTGACCCAATCAATACATAAGTAAAAGATGCATTGTAAAATACTCAGCGACTGTTTGGCATCAAATCTGAGTTTTCGCAACGAAATAAACAGAATCAATTATTGAAATAATGATAATGATGTAATACCTATTTCTCGACTTATGACATACGGTATAATCCCATTTGGCCAGAGTTGTCTTGGATTCCGTAGAGAGCCTCTTGTTTGAGCTTCTTCGTTCCAGTCCGGCCCTTTTGATGCTGGGCGTGTAAACCCCAGAGCCTGGACCTGTTCTTTAGTTAGTGCCATGTCTCCCTCGTACAGTGGAGGCACATCGGTCCTATGATCAGGCACTAGCCGATATATATTGAAAAAATGGTTTAGTTTTGTAAATTAACGGACTCTAAACTGAAACAGCTGCTTTCGTCGTGACCTAGTGTAGATTGTTTTCATTCACTTGGCCAGCACACGTGCCAATTGTTCGGAACAAAAGAAAGCGTTTACATAAGAATAGAGTTCAACTTTGGTACACCAACATGGCCGCCGTTTCATTGTTTTGGAACTCCAATATGGCTGCCGTCGGTGATGTCATGTGCCGCTCTGATTAGTAGCCTAAATACTACGTTTCCACTGCTATTAAACTGAAAATCTACGATATAGCTGCTGTGAATGAAATCAATCGATGCTTGATGAAGGACGAGAGCACATACTTAAAACCATGCATACGTAAATAAAGTTTTTGTCATCCCACACGTGGGTACGTAATCTGCCAATGTGTAGTTCCTAAATATGACCTTAGCATGCGTAAAACCATGATCAGCTCCAAAACTTAGCAAAACTGGTTTGAAATAACAAAATCACATTAATAATAATAATAATAATAATAATA